AAATAGAATAGAAAACATTCAGAGCTTTTTCTCAAAACGAAACATTTTGGCACTTTTCGGGTATTTTCAGTGTTTCCTGTTTTTTCTCAATGAATAAATGGTTTCTCGAGGCTAAAAAGATAATATTCGTCATCAGCGTCGTCTGGCAATTCAAATTGGTTTGATACCAATATCTGAGGTGATGTACCGATCTGAACACAAAAACTGCAACAAAAAATAAAAGTATGAGGTACTTTTTCTCGCACGCCACTTCTCCGGGGTTTATAAAACTGTTTTCAACATCAGTATTCGTCAGTATTAGCATTTCCAGTATTCGGCTTGTCCACGTAGGAGTTCACTGTTTGGTCAGTCCGTCACGTTTTGAAATAATGCGCAACAGAAAAACGTAATAGCTAGGTAATGTCTTATTTTGTAGAGTAAACAGTCTCTTTGGTATGACAATCAAACGATCTCTTAGACATGCGGCTATAAATACAGATAAGCTACTAAAATTTAGGCAAAGCGCTATGTTTGGGTCACTCACTTACTGAGTTATAACTTTTGCAATAAATGCTCATGAGAGTTTGTTTGACTGTCATATGAAAAAAGACAGTTTACTCTGCAAAATAAGACATTTCTCAGGCTATTACGTTATTTCGTTGCGTAACTATAATTATTTCAAAACGTAACGGACTGAGTTTTCTTGGCTGGGTTGCGTGTACAAGTCATATTCATGATACTGATGCATCCCTAAATTATAGTCATTATAAAAAGTCTGTTTCATAGCTTTCATTCAAATCAGTTATTGATAATTTGACACTGTGAACCAGTCCAGACGAATCTGAATTGTTACTATATTTTTTAAATACCATTTTTATCGTAATTTGTCTTGTATATTTTGGTATTACATCAATTTTTTCTCTGTACACGAATGTGGTACGATTTCGTCGTTCAGTATTTGTTACCGGGCCTGAAAGAGTAATGAAGAAATTGAATGATTCGTTCTACAAATATGAGTAGTGCTATATACCTAAACGAAAAACTGGTTTATTTGAATCAACATGTACATTCTTAATCATAAATTCAATGTCCATGTAAGCATAATCATTATAATATTCCATTCCACCTAAATATGCTGAAAAATTATATTTTGCCTTGCCAGAATCGATTAAACGTGAATAATCAAACACATCAATTTGCTGATATAAATATTCATCTAAATTTTGATCATCATTATTTTCCTTTCTCCCGCCAAAACAACATTGTTCTTGTCTATCAAAATGACAACTGACTATTGTCGCTATTGGCTTGTTTGTACCAACATAGAGCCATTTTCGTTGTTTTAGTGATAGAAATGATACATTTGCACACAATGGTTCACCATTATCAACTAAATTTGTTCGTCTGACTTTCATATATGTACTGTATACAAAGCTTCCATTTGGTGCTATTGCATTGTCTATTAAGGGTATTATTGAATCAGGAAATAATGCACCTCTCATATTCACATTATCAAAATATGAATCATAAATAAATGAATGACGAAAATCTGTTCGACTTAGTTCACAATTCGTAAAATTTGTCCTACCTAAACGACTATATGAAAAATTTGCACCATCTAATATTGATCCATAAAAATTAGCATATTCCAAATTAGACATAGAAAATGATGCATTTATTAGAATACAATTTTTTAAACTAATAGACTTTAAACTATATCCAACATCACCTAAATTAATACCAGTTAAATTTGCACCTGTTAAATCAATTGGATTTTTTGAAACATTCAGTAAATTAGCTTCGTATAAAAAGAATATTAGGAAATTTTTACGTCTAATATCAATTTGTCTTAGTGTTGTCAACGTTTTTGCACGTCCAAATATTAGACGTTCTAACATTTCGTCTTTCGATAGTTTTGGATGATCTTTTTTCATGAATAATTCACTCATTTCTGTAATATATCTGGCATAAACTGTTTCTATGTGTAATTCATCAGCTTGTTCTTGATCTTGCTGACGCTGATTATTAGCTATTTCTAAATCTTTTATACGATTTAAATTAGCGACATGATTTTGTTGTGATGTTGTTACAATTGTGAATATTCCAATCATGAGTGAAACAAGAAATGCGGATGTTAATTTTAACCATTTTTCTAATGATATGCCACAAAACAAGAATGAAAATATTTTTCGTTTTTTATTTTGTAATGGTGGTACCATATCTATCTGATTTGAGCCGTCACACAAATCCCTAACAGAGAAGAATACTAAAAAGTAGATTTTGTAAACTAATAATGTTAATGGGAGACTTTGCCTTAGAGTTAAACAAAAGTTGTTAACACTGCCTGTTTTTTTTTGTTATTACAACGAATATTAGCAACAATACAAGAAAACGTTTCTGAAGGTCAAACCCTTTTCTTTTAAAAAAGAAGTTTTGACGTTGTTCAAAATTGATATTCGTTCTGACATATAGATCTATCCTGACAGAATATTCAGCAATCCAATCTCCATGTTCTTAGCACTATACTTTGACTCGAGAACTTCTGGTTCATCGATTTTTTACAGCCTTGTAGTCCAATAGTTTTTAGAAGTATTTGATTCATTTTCAAGCAGAGATTAGTGTTTTATTCTAGAGAATTATGTCATGATGTTGCTTCTCAAGAAAGTATTATCTCACCGAATACTAACTCGTTGGTTGCGAAATTTATGAATACATGTAATCTAATGTGTTTTACACATTGAATAGATTTGAAGCATTTAGTTTTGGTGTTTCCTATTGAATTTCGGGAACATCAGATTTCAAAGACCGACTTTGTGTGAGCATAAACATCGGAACAGATATTAGATCTGATATCAGCATCAAAAATAAAATAAAAACTACAAGACTATTGAAAAAGTCCTTTGGCATGTGAAAAATGTTCTATCGTTAGATATTAAGAAATGATAGTGAATTATTAATAAAAAACAGGTATGGCATTTGTCTCTAAGGGCCATCTACAAGTGCAACGGATTCGTGGAGATGGTTTACCTTTTCATCTTGCTTAGTTGCTCAGCAATAGATAAATAGTCAGAAAATGTTTTTTGTGAGGATTATTAGTCACTAGAAAGCGAGTAAAGCTATTTGGACCACTGTCTACTCTATTTTTACGATGCACGTAATGCAAACTTGAAATGAAATATATTTTGGGATATATTATACATATTCTGAATTGCCAGACGACGCTGAAGACGAATATTATCTTTTTAGCCTCGAGAAACCCTTTCTTCATTGAGAAAAATCGGAAACACTGAAAATACCCGAAAAGTACCAAAATGCTTCGTTTTGAGAAAAAGCTCTGGATGTTTTCTATTCTATTC